GCAATGGCGTCACTGTTTCGTGTCTCGCATGCCAGTGCTTGGTCATGATCAAGACGAGCGCTAGTAAGCCTTACGAAGGGAACCAAAGAAGCACTGACGTGGTAGCCTCTTGAATTTCGTACGCCTTCCTTCGTCCACCAACAAAACCGAGAGAGACCGAGCAGCAAAGCAGATCTAACCAACTGCCGATAGTTGAACCAACAGTACCCACCACCGACGATGCAGAGAACCTACCCAATGATAACAGCCGCCGTGCAGCGTAGGACTACGGCCGCCCTGGTCTCCTCCTGCCGCACCCTCGCCCCCGCCGCGAGGCACTACGCCGAGGGACCCCAAACATCAACAGAGAAAGACTTCAAGGAGGGAGGCGAGAAGTACGACAGACAAGCGCGCGGCGAACCGTCGATGATCTCCGGGCACGCCCAGTACGTGAAGGGAGCGGTGGAGCAGACGCTCGGGAGCATGATCGGGTCGGAGAGCTTGAAGAAGGCCGGCCAGGAGGATAAGGAAGCGGGCGTGACGGAGATGAAGGCGGCGTACCATGGGCAGGACGACTGGATGTCGCCCGAGCTCGAGAAGAAGCTCGGCAAGGTGATCGGCTGCGAGGGCATGGCCGAGATCGGAGACGAGAAGCTGCGAAAGAAGCACGACCAGTGATGCACCCAGACCGCGGACTTGCGCATACAGGGGAAACAAACACTAATAAAGATGATGACACGACTCGAACACGGCGGGAGGGCGGTGGGTAGCTCCAGTTGTGTGGCGGGTTGTGCCCACCTCATACGAGGTCGCTCTCCTTTGCTCCGACACTGACGTCGTTCATGCGGTATTGAGGACCGGCGGAGGCACGCATGCCACTCTCGAGCTGGCGCATCAGCGGCTTCAGGGCGGGAATCGATGACAGGAAGTGCACCACTCTCGCCGCTGCGGCCCATTCGGCCATGCTCTGTTTGTGGGCAGTTCTCGTCAGTAACACTCATCCGGTGGTGACTGAAATAACAAGGTGCTCGAGAAGACGGACCTCGTCCATCAGGCCGCCCAAACCGCTTCCTGAGTCGGGCTCCTCATCTTCATCCTCGGCTGATTCTATATTCATCACGCAACGGTAGGTTAGCAACTGCGCAATCATGGTGACAGAGGTGGGCGTGGTGTACCACTGACCGCGGAGCCCTTGAGCAGCAATTCGCGAAGTCCCTTTGGCCTAGGGAGGACAGTGACCTCATAGTCAACGCCGGGCGGGAGCGGGCCAGCCAGTTCCTTTGCCACTTCTACTGCGCGGGAGAGCTGAAGGTGCACCCATTCAGTCGTTCTATCAGGCGAAAGGCTACATGCACAGATCTGCAACACAGCGCAACCAAAAGATCGGAGGAGAAGCACGCACGCCGCCAAGCTCGTCGACCAGGCCAATCTCCAAAGCTTCCGTGCCTGTCCAAGCCTGTGTGGAGAAGGGTGAACAATAAGTTTTGCTGAGACAACCAACTCGAAGGGTTTCCGTACTCGCCCCTTGGCGATCTTGTGCGCCTCCTCGTAGGTGATGCCTCGTCCAGAGGCAACCCTGGAAAAGAGATGAACGTTAAATCATTTCCAGGGAAATGAGTGCGACTTCAATGGAGTGACGGGAACGAATACTTGGTGACAAACTCCTTGTAGGACTCATCCGCCAGCTTGTTGCAGAGCTCGAGCTCAGAGGGCTTCCAGTCGTAGTAGGCTGACATGATGTTGGCGTGCTTACCCTGCATTACGATATGAGTTGAGGCGCGAACGCGTGTGGGGGAACAAAAAGGAAGAGGAGAGAACCTTTTCGACGGATTCTTGAGTGACGCCCAGCTTATTGGCAAGAAACTTGCCAAGCACCATCTTGCCAAAGATAACGCCAATGGAACCGGTGATGGTTCCCGGCTGTGCGATGATACGATCAGCTGCGGCCGAGATGTAGTAGCCACCGCTGTAAAGTGCAAGCGTTAAAGGTGGGGAAGACGAGCGCCATTCCGTTGCGGTACGTGGAGCAACGGTACCTGGCAGCATAGTCACCCATGGAAACGACGAGAGGAAGACCGGCTTCCTTGGCCCTGATTGTTTCCCACCAGATGGTGTCGGAGCCCACAGCACTGGACGAGCAGAGCTCCTGTCAGCAAACACAAGCGCGCGGCATTGTCTATGGCCAAGTGCGTACCTTCCACCGGGAGAATTGACGCGCAAGACAATCGCCTTGACATCCTTGTCGCGCACCACTGTCCTCAAAATCGTGCTGAAAGTCTTGGAAGCTGATGCCCACTCAATTACGTTAATGCACGCGCTATGCTACAGTCATAACGGGCAAACTGCGGCCGTACCCACAACGCCAGTTTTCTCGTGGTGGCCCGAGCTGATCTCGCCTGTGGCGTAGATGACGGCCACCTTGGGCACACCAGTCTTCCCCCTCTCAGCTCTGCGGGCAAGCCGACGGCTCGTTTTCTGAGTTTCCGCTAGATAGACGATTCGAGGTTAGCGCATAGTTCTGACTGGCGGTTGGCAAGCGAGTGGTGACGTACGGTCACCTTGTTCGGGGTGCTCCTGCTTATCGTACACCTGCTTGAGAGCCTGGAAGTTTGCGGTGTCGGCAGCCATCAACGTGGCGGTCTCCTTCTTTTTCTTGAGCTTTTCCAGTTCCTTCTCCTGCATTGTGGGTGTACGGGAAGGTCAATCCAACGTCTGAAGCTTGAGCTGGGATCTACAAGCGACGAGGCGGGACGTACCTCCTTGGTCTTCTTCACGTACTTCTTGAATGACATGAACTTGACCTTCTTCGCTGGCACAGCAAGCACAGCTTTGGCCAACTCCACCTCGGGCGTGGGTTTCCCTTGCTGCTCATGCTTAAGGGAGTCCAAAACCTTGCCTGTGCGTCATAAAATAAGATCTATGCACATGAACATTGCAAGAGAATAGGATAACCAAGGGAATAAGGTGATGGGAAGCGGACCAGTGATGAGAGAGTAGGCCTTGTCACGGTAGGCAACCTCATCGATCAACCCAGCATCGCTGGCGAAGCAAAAAGCGAACATTACATGAGAGAGACATTGCACGGGGAAGAGAGGGATACACATACCGCGCGTCTCGTGGCAGCAACGGACCTTGGTCCATCAGAGCCTGCAGTTTCTTCGGCGCGATGCCGCGTGCGTCGGATATATCCTGCAACTATACATGCGCGTGTTAGCACTAAACACCACCAGAGAAGAAACGGGGTGCCAGCCTACCAATTGCTTATGGAGCGACGTGGCCATGGCATCGACCGACTCTTTGTGTGCGGGAGTGAAGCCCTTTTCGTTGAACGTGTTGGCGAAGCTCTGTTGGGCGGGGAGGTGTTAGTAACGCTATCGGTTGTCGACGGTTAGAGAAGACGCACCTTATATTCATGGCGCTGCAGCAACCGAGGTTCTATCTCGAGCTTCTCGAACAATCCGCGCAGGAAGGTTGCCGACATGGCAACGCCAGTGAGGTTCAACCAACCAGAGGGCTGCATCACAATCTGATCGAAGGCGGTCGCCAAGTAGTAATCCGTGTTGTTGCCTACCGCCACAAGACAATAAAGGTGATGATTGCAAAGGTGGTGAGTAACGATTGTCAAGCACGGCTCAGAGAACGAGGAAAGAGACATGCGACGTACCGCCAAATCCTTCAGAATGGCAGACAGCAGCCTTATGGGCCTCGCGAAACTTCTTGAGTGCGTCTCGCAGCTCCTGCACCTGCGCCATGGGCAGCTCCATGACCTCGCTGCCTGCCATACCTCACGTGAGCTAACGCGAACAACCCCTCGCCGAGCCATACACTGAGGTCTAGTAAGCTGCGTACCGACGGTGGCGATGATGCCCCTGACGCGAGGGTCCTTCGCAGCGGCGTCGAGACCGTCAACAACCTCTTGCAGCGTCAGCACTGGAAACAGTTGCGATGTCTGCGACACGTCGGGGAAGGGCCTCTCGAAGTTGAGCTGCACACAGGTTAGATTCATGTGGGAATAATAAATCGATAGGCGCTGGATTGTACCTTGAGCACGACGTCGGTGGGTATAGCCTCTGCCGCCTTGTAGGCACTGTACAAGAGCACGCCATAACCAACCGCGGCCAGAATGGCAATGCCCCTGACAACACGGAACACTTTCGCTCCTGCCTCTCCAACTCTCTTTAGCTGCGCACCTGCTGTCGGTGGCGGGACCTCGCCTTGCGGCGGGGGCGGCGGTGGAGGGGTGGCCTGTGTTTGCGCCAATCGTCGAAGCTGCTGTCCAGATCGAGCGAGAAAAGATGCCGAGCCGCCTACGTGCGAAGAACAGAGGTAGCGCGGCAGACCCATGGAGGTGGCACCGCCACTGTAAAGGGGCGATGCTGCCCTGTATCCACGAAGCATGCTGCTGATGAGGTGGAGAAGTAAAATGTGTACTGCCGATTTGGCTTTTGTTGGTTGGGCGTTCTTCGAGTTTCGAGATTTGCAATTCAACAGAACGAAATTTCAACAGAACGAAATTTCCCTTCGCGATTGAGGCCTCACAGGAGGGGATATGACACGTAGAGGGGGCGATGATCGGACGCTTGGGTGTTGCGCACGCCGGCTCGGCAGGTCACCTTGTCGTTGCTGGATCCGCGGGCGGCGTAGAATGCATAGTCGATACGCTCGGTTGGGTTGGCACTGTTGAACGTGAAGCCGTTCTGTGTAGCGAGGATCGGCTGAGCATTGCTCGAGCGGCAACAATGGGAAGAAGAGAGTACCCCGTAGCTGCAGTGGGGCCAGCTATCTGTGAGCTCGATCTGATCTCCCTTGAGCATGTTACCTGTGAGGGGTGCGGTAAGTTGCAGCACGAGCGGCAGCATTGCTGAAGGAGGGAGTACCAATCGCCTCAGACGTGGGGTCAGAGTTGAAGTCGCCAGTGATGATGACATAGTCCTGCCCGGAAGGATTGGCGGGGGGCAGGTTGGCGAGGAATTTGGTGAGCTGCTTGGCCTCTTCGGCTTGAACAGCGCCTTTGAAGCCGATGCCTGGGTAGATGGTGAAAACAGTGCGCATGGTTTGGCGTTCTGGTGTTCGTTACACTTATTGGTGACCGT